CTGAAACTGAAACTGAAACTGGCTGTTTGCTGCAAGGAGGCAAATGGCTGGGAGGCAGAGGCTGAAGGGTGGGGACCAGTGGGAGGGCGGAGCTTCGGCAACATTTTCTGTATAAGACGCACAGACATTTCCACCCACTTTTGGGGGAGAGTGCATCTTATACTCCGGAAAATATGGTACATATCCATCCCAAATAAATGCATTTTTAAAAATAGATTAATTAATGCAACCATGTCATTTCAGGAAATCCACTCCCCAAAGTTTGGTGTGAAAATGGTAGAATGTTGTATGAGAATCCAAGACTGGGTAGATTTTGACATTTGGGAATTCTTCCCTGGAGCATCTAAATATCTCAGCAGGAATGTTGAGTTCATGAAATTTGGGCCACCGGGAAGAATTGTGAATGTAGATGTTCCTCATTTGTTATTGGGGAATATTATGAGCTCGAATCTGAGCTCTCTCTTGGAACTACAGACACTAAGGAAATGTTGTCTTCCACCGAAATAAAGCAGAACCACATTTCAAAAATGAAATTTTACTTTCAGGATGCATATTTTCAAAGAATGGTAATTAGAGAAAAGATTTGTGGGATTTTGATGGATAACAAGTAAAAATCAATGTTATTTGCAAATTATATGATTATTTGTTTTGTAATTCTACTGCCTTTGTTTAACAAATCTGCCTTGTTGACATGTTGTTCTTGTGAATGGATAATAATTGGTTAACTGGGGAGTGCATTTTAAGTGCTTAGGTTGACATAGTCTTGGAAGAATCAAGGTATAGATTGGTTCAAAGGGTGGAGCCAAGGGCTCCCTTAATGGGACAGAAAAGTCCAGTTGGAAAAATCCCTCCAAGGTTCACCAACTTGTGATGGCAGCTCTTTCCCATCCAGACAGAAAGAAGCAGCCCAGTGAAGCAGGAGCTTCCATCGGCCCCTGGCTGGCCAGGCAGAGGGACTTTCTTGTGGTTTTTCTCATGCGCCAGCGGAAGCTTGGCTGGAGCCGAAGGGAGGTTGAGACAATGGGAGAAACAAATGTGGGTGGCATCTGCGCCTCAGAGGGTTAGGCTTGATGGGCATCCGGAGCAGGACGGAGCATTTCCATGATTTGGGCCCATGGCTGTCAATGCTTAGGCTGTGGCAATGTTGTTAAATCCAAATCCCTCTGTTGCTCTTTTAGAGGGAAGCTTGGGTGGGCCTGAGCAAGCCCGGATGGAGAAGGCACGGGGGCTTCTGGTGGTTCCCTGACCCTGTTTTGCAGGAGCTGCCGGGAGAAGGGCATCTCGCAGAAGGAGGTGTTAGGAAGGGGAGGAAAAGGCTGCCTTGGAGGCAAGTTGCCGTTTTTTCAGAGCTATCATAATAGCGACATTCCCTCTGCCCTTGGCAATGGAGCAGGTGCTGGGTGGGCGGACTGAGTAATGCACGGCTCCCAGGATCTTCCGTCAGGCTTGGTTTTTCCGGTCCTGCAGAAAATCCCTGTATTTATTCCAGCTTGTGGCCAACCCAGTAGCAGGCAGTTTGGTTTCCGTTCCTTGGAGGAGTGAGGCGAACCCCACTTTACCCAGGGGATGCGGCTTAAAAGCTCTCTCCACGTCTTTGAACTTCCAAGCAGAGCTTTTCAGAAATGTTCTTCCCGTGCAGTTTTTGGACACGTGGCTCCCTTTTCCTCCAGCCAGCCGCTCTGCTCTGGGGAAAGGAGAGAGGCAGAGCTTGGGTGGAGCAGAGAGAGAGCAGGAGGGGGGGGCATTTGGGAAGTAGCAGCTGGAACGACTTGCACTTGGGGAGGAAGAGCGGGGAAATGGTTTAAAATGTTGGTGGGGAAAAGCGCCTGCCTCGAAATCTAGGGGCTACTGCAGCTGACACGAGCGCATTGCCTTCTGCTGAGGAGTTCTGTTTAGTGCAGTGCGTAAACTCAGTCCCTGTGCTCAGTAGCCCCTAGTTTATAGTTCAGTGTTATGGGTAAATCTTGCCACTAGAATGGTTAGGACAAATGACAGAAACATACAAAGATACGAAGCTTTTCCTCAATGTTTTTTTCCCCTGTTCGGGAGGATTTGTTGGTTTTTAATACCTATTGGGGGGATAATATGGTGTTAGTGTGCTCGGGCTGCAAAGGGAGCTCTGGGCTGCCATGTGGCCTTAGAGATGCCAGCTGTGGACCCCCTACCTCTCCTCTTCCTTTGCCAGCAGCCCCATTGGGGAGGGAAGCGTTCCGACCTCTTGGACTCTGGCCCCCTATTTTAAGGTTCAGAGCCCCGTTTTTCCCTCTGATGGTGTGGGGCCCCCATACCATCCTCACAGATTGCAACCCCACCCGGGAGGACCAGTGCCACCCAGAAATCCTTGGTGGAGGAAGCGACAGTCGCTTCCTGTTTTTCTAGCAACAGCCATCTTGGTTGCAAAAGAAGGAAGGACGGTCCTGTTTGAGAGCCATTTGGCAACCAGGCTGACCCCGGTGCCAGCCCTCTCCTCCTCCTCCTCCTCCTCAGGGCTGCTCAGTTGCCATCCTTTGCCAGCTTTGTCTAAAAGTCGAAGAAACAGAGGCCAGCAGCCAGGAGGAAGATGAAAAGGCAGATTTTCCAGGTGGCTTCGTTTAGCCAGAAAGCTGACAAACACCTGCCTGCTCTTGGCAGAACAGGAGCTCTGCAAACAATGGAGTCACTGAGTGGAGGCGGACAGGAGGCAGGAGGAAGAAAGGGTTGATTCAGAGCTTCCTCCCCTCACCCACCCATCACCTAGGCTGGCTCTGTGGCGGGCGGGGGAGATTTTTCTCAATGGCTCCTGGGCTCCTGCCATTTCTGTAACAAATAAGGCTGGCTGTGCATTATGCAAAGGCGGTTGACAGAGTGGACGAGAGTGGGACATTTATTAAGGCTGGCCCAGTCACGCACAACTTCTCCTTTCCCCTTCCCCCTACCCCTTTTGGTTAAATATTCCCAATACTACTTCTTCTTTTTTTTTAAAAAAAGGATACATTTGCACAAGACCCCAAAGGGACAACCTAAGGAGATCAGCCAGAAATTAAAGCAATGAGAAGTCATGACTGACCCACAGAAGCTTCTGCAATAATTTTTAAGATGCCACCAGGTTCTGCCATTTCCCCTATCAAAAGTTCACTTGACAACTCCCTCTGGAAATGAGTAGAAGCCCACATTGTGTCTCACACCATCCCTTTCCATTCGTTTCCCCAGGGATGGTATTGCTCAGTTGCATTTACCATCTACATTCCTGGATCTGCCATACAACTCCTGAGCAATCTATGGAACTCTACTGTGCTTCTCTTTCAGATATTCCCTATATTTTTTTTTCATTCCTCTGCCTTGATTTCATTATTTATAAAGCTTTTGTAAAGTGTTTGAATAGTTAAATGACAGGGTTTAAATTTTGAAGGCCTATCCTTCTACCGGCCATTTTCGCCTCCTCTCAGCCTGTTTTGGAATCTTGGAAATAATTGTATGAACCTAGATATGCTTTGTCCAGTTGGATGCAGTCTTGTGAATATGGGCATTGTGAACTTTTTAACATTCCTTTCCTCCTTTTTGGCCCATTCCTATGCTAACTTTCATATTGCTATTATTTATTGCCTTTGGGGAAAGTATTCCACTGATTTCTGGACACAACCCTTCCAGTCCCCCCAAAGGAAATCCTGAAGCCTTTTGGCAGCAGCACTGGGTCTGTCTGCTCCGAGAAAGTGACTCAATAAGTTTGTCTCAAACAGACCTTTTGAATAAGGATTCCTTTTG